ATATATATATATATATATATATTGGTGTGATGGAAGCTGAAAGTCATTTCAAACTCATGCTTGGAGAACTGTTACATGACATGTTTAACTTTAAATTCAAACCAACTAGCAATACGCATTTCTCAGAGGAATGCTGTTATTTTTTTTAAGAACATTGCGGGGAAATGATAAATAAACAAGTTAGTTGCAATATAGTAGTAATGCAAAGAAAAATATAGTATTTTATAGTTTAGAAACATGTTTAAATGTACTTTAATAGGTGTTGACAGAAAACGGCACTGGTTGAAATTAAAAGCGTTTCAGTAAATATTATTTAAAGCACCAAAGCTGCACGACATCGTTGATGTTGCTGATTTATATCTCACACTCAGAACCTTTATACTGCCCTGCAGCAGGGAACTTCCAGGACTTCTTGGTGCTATAAACACACATTTTGTCAAATTACATTTCATATATTTAGAGTTGTTTATTCCCAACTAACTTTTTAATGATCGTTTGTCTTTAGAAAGAACTATTTTATTTGCTACGTTGGCACTTTTTGAATTTATAAAATTAAAAGACAAATCTTTGTGGGGAAATATTTATGTATCTGAATATCAGCAATTGGAAAGAGCCATATTTTCACAATGTTTTATCATTTATAATATGTTTAATTCTGTGTTTTTGACTTCACCACATGGAAGTACAGGTAAAACCTTTGCTGCAGTGAAGGAACAGAAGTCCAGATCAACTGTTTGAGTCCAAGAAGAGATTTGGGTTATTGTTGAGTAGTTTAGTGTTTCTGTCTCCTCCAGTGAGGTCACTTTTGTCAGGGAAATGTGCAGCCACAGTGTATTGGAGACTAGATTAAACAAAAGCAGAGTTCAGGATTTTATCACACGGATGTGTTGCAAAGAATTGCTGTGTTGCAGACAAACCTGTTCGTGTCACTGCTTGTGGCTCTTTGTGTGTGCCTGCACAGGTCTGCTGTGACTGTTGACAGTTTGCAGTTCATTCCTCAGCCTGAGAATATTATCATTACAAATATGTCAAATTATATCATGTTAATTAAGAAAAAAAAAAGGTTAAATCATGTCATCTGGACCAGTTTCTTTAAGTGAAAAATGTTTCGTCCCCCATCCAGAGGACTTCCTCAGTCTACGGCCTGCCAACCAGATCTGTCCCATAGGTAGTCTTCACTGCTGTGTTTCAAGCCAACATCCTGTTGGAATCTCAAAAGCAGACTTTTAACACATGCAAAGCACACCTATACAAAACTAGGGATGCACGATATTATCAGCAGGGCATTGTATCGGCCGATATTAGCATTAAAGTTAAATATCAGACATCGGCCATTCCATGAAAATAACTCACAGATATAAAAGATGCTGTTTTTGTATGACAACCCAGTGACAAGGATGCCTGCGGCGCCAGCACAACGAGATGGCGGCAGGCACGTCTACCTGATCTGATCACGACAGAGAGGAAAATTCAAAATGTCAGCCGTGTGGAAGTGTTTTTCCATTGAGGATGTTGGATTCCGAAGATTTTTGGACTACGTTGAGTCTCGCTACATCGTCCCCAATCTGATATTTTTCCGACGTAGCCTTACACGAGTTACAAGCCGTCATTTCAGACGTCATTGAGAAGCTAATAGCCGATAGCACTTGGGTGAGTTTTACCACAGACATTTGGACGTCAAGTGTTAGCCCCGTTAGCATGATTGGTCTCGTGGCACAATGGATAGACAAAAACTTTGAACTTAAAAAGTCTGTCCTTCATGCACAGGAGTGCAGAGGATCCCACCCTGCAGCTATAGGAACCTGGAACAAGCCTCCACACGTGAGACAGCATCGCAGGTGACTAATGCTAATAAATAACATTTAACACTTTTCGTTTAATATAAGTTAAACTGCTATGCATATGACTGTTACTGAATATATGTCACCAGCTCTTACAGCCGTTGCACAAGTTTTCTAAATAAGCCTAAATAAGAGAGCTATGTTCTGACAAAGGAACAAATATATTAAAAATATCAGTATCGGTTATCAGCCAAATAAGTTTTAACATATTGGATATTGGCCAAAAATCCAATATCATGCATCACTATCCAAAACAATCTATCATCATGCACAGCAATCAAATGTTTTAGGCCATATGGCCAACTTGCTAATTACAGAAACAGCCTGAGGGCAACCAAGGTCAAAGTGGCTGAGAAAAACGGTTAGATCATCCAGGTAGATAACGGGTATTTCATTGCTGGATCCTGGATGATTGAGCCTACAAACCTACATTTGAGATTCCAACAGGAAGTTGCCTTGAAACACAGCAGTGAAGGCTACGGGACAGATTTGGTTGGAAGGCCACAGACTGACGAAGTCCTCGGAATGGGGGACGAAACATTTCTCACTTTAAAAAAAAACTGGTCCAGATGACATAATTGAACCTTTTTTATTGTTAGCTACCTGGATGACTGAGCTTACAACACTTTATTTTATTTTTTTATATCTTGTTACTTTTATTTTCCAGGTTCTCTTCCACCTTCTCCCCACTCTTACAGCAGATGTTGTCTGCAGACAGCCTCTGGCCTCATCGGTCAATCTGTCCAATGCCATAATCAACAAAAAGGGGCCCAGAGCTGATTCCTTCTGTAATACCACCCCCACATTGAACCCACACATTTGCACCATTCATCTACATGTATATTCTGATTACTCAAATCCACGTTACCTTTTAAAGAGAAGTAGGCTAACGTTAAAGGGAAGGAGGAGGAGGGTTTGTAGCATAACTGGAAGGATGTTAGTGAACGAAGACCACCAGCTGCCAGCATCATAACTACTCCTGCATACCCCACACAGCACTAACACAGAAACACAATCAGAAGACTAACGTTATTGTCCGTATCATAAAACCTGTGCGATACTTTGAATTAGAAAATATAAAAAGCTACAGATCATATTCCTGACGAAGGCCAAGCTTTTACCTTTCTTTATACCCATTGGGAGGTTTCCCGTGATTCTTTGGTCCAGCCACTGATGTTCTTGAGGTTTTCCTCCAATATTCAACAGCGTATTTGTCCGCTTCCAATTTTCTGTTTCAGCCAAGTCTTTTTCAGGCTCACAACAAGGAAACTTGTGGCTCAGCACTACATGGCAAGGATTACACTCGGCAGCAAGCAGATCTAAATTAATAAACACTCGACTGATGATACGTTTATGCTGATACTGCAGAGGAGTAAAGTAAATTATTTAATGGATTAATAGTAAGAAGACTTTGCAGTGAGAAAGACAGAGATGGGAATGCTCACCTCTTTCTTTCAGGAAGTGAAGAGCATCCATGTAACCGTTGTGGCAGATTTCAGCCAGCGTCTTTCCAAAACAAGAATAGAATAGAAAGACGCAAAAAAAAAAAAACAGCGTTTTGATTTTTAACAATTTATCACAAAATAAATGCCCAGCAGAACATCTCAGGGATGAGACAGATCCAAGTGGTGAAATCTGTTTGACCTCAAAACAAGCTTATTGGTAAGGAAGAACTAAACCATCTTTTCAAAACTCATCATACCTGGACTGGGCCATATCTCTTTAATAACAACACTACCATTAACGGCATTGAACTCTGAATAGATACGCACATGACATTTTTTTAAACTACTACTGAGGACATCTCAGAAAGCCATCCATCCATCATCTTCCACTTGTTCTGAAGTCAGGTCTCGGAGGCAGCAGCTTGAGCAGGGAGGTCAAGACATCTCTTTCCACAGTCACCTCTTCCAGCTCTTCTGTGGGAACCCCAAGGCGTTCCCAGACCAACTGAGAGACATAGCCTCTCCAGCGTGTCCTAGGTCTTCCCTGGGGTCTCTTCCCAGTTGGACATGACTGAAGCACCTCCCTAGGGAGGCGTTCAGGGGATATCCTTACCAGATTCCCAAACCACCTCAACTGGCTCCTCTCGATGAGGAGGAGCGGTTCTACTCTGAGTATCTCCCGGATAACTGAACTTCTCACCCTATCTCTAAGGGAGAGTTCAGCTACCCTGCAAAGGAAAATCATTTCAACTGCCTGTATCCGCAATCTCATTCTTTCATTCATTCAACCTTTATTTATACAGGCTGGTCTCATTGAGCCACAAGGACTCATTTACAAGAGGGACTTGTAGTGTTGGTCACTACCCAGAGCTCATGACCATAGGTGAGGGTAGGAACGTAGACTGAGCAGTAAACAGAGAGCTTTGTTTTACAGCTCAGCTCTCTTCACCGCAACGGACTGGTACAGAGTCAGCAATACTGCAGACGCTGCACCAATCCATCTGCCAATTTCACGCTCCATTCTTCCCTCACTCGTGAACAAAACCCCGAGATACTTGAACTCCTCCACTTGAAGCAGAACCTCACCCTCGATCTGAAAAGAGCAAACCACCCTTTTCCAGTTCAGGACCATGGCCTCAGATTTGGAGGTGCTGATTCTCATCCCAGCTGCTTCACACTCGGCAACAAACAGCTCCAGTGAGAGCTGAAGATCACAGCACGATGACACCAACAGGACCACATCATCTGCAAAGAGCAAAGACAGAATCCTGAGGCCACCGAACCGGACTCCCTGCACCCCCTTGCTGTACCGAGAAATTCTGTCCATAAAAGTTATGAACAGAATCTGTGACAATGGGCAGCCCTGGCAGAGTCTAACTCCCACCCTGAAGGGGTCTAACTTATTACCAGCAATGCTTGTATAGGGGCCGAACAGCCCATAACAACGGACCTCCAATCCCATACTCGCAGAGCACTCCCCACAGTGTACCCTGAGGAACACAGTCGAATGTCTTCTTCAAGTCCACAAAGCTCATGTAGACTGTATGGGCAAACTCCCATGACCCCTTGAGGACGCTAGTGATGGTAAAGAGCTGGTGCAGTGTTCCACAGCCAGGATGGAACCCACATTGTTCCTCCTGAATCTGAGGTTAGACCAATGATTGGACTCACTTCTCCAGTACCCCTGAATAGACTTTACCAGGCAGGCGAAGGAGAGTGATGTCCCTGTAATTGGAGCACACCCTCCGGTCCCCCTTTCTGAAGAGGGGAACCATCTTCCCAGTCTGCCAATCCAGTGGCACTGCCCCCGATGTCCATGCGATGTTGCAAAGGCATGCCATCCAAGACAACCCTACAACATCCAGAGCCTTTAGGAAATCAGGGCGAATCTCATCCACCCCCGGGGCCCTGCCATTTCAGAGCTTTTTAACTACCTCAACGACCTCAGCCACGGTTATGGACAGACCAACCCCAAAGTCTCCCGACTCCGCTTCTTCCATGGAAGACGTGCCAGTGGGATTGAGAAGGTTCGAGAAGTATTCTTTTCACCTCCCGATGTAAGAACGTCTCAGAAAGTCTATCAGTAATTCTGAGTCCTATAAATAATAGCAGGTATTTCTAAAAATAATCATTAAACTCTACCAAGTTTTAACCCAAGACCTCTGGACAGGGACTCACCTCCAGTCTGGGAGGTAGGAAAGCTGTACAGACACGATGGACGTTTCCAGTGTTGGCCTGAATGCTTACGTTGCCATAGTGGGCTTCAAAAAAGTTGAACGTTCCCTCTGTGGGGCAGATGTCGCTCTCGCCTGAGAACGGGGCCAGAGTGATGGTGTTCCTGTGCTCAAACAGAGGCATGTTGTTGCTCAGGGCTCCGTCCATGTAGCGCTGAAAGGAAACCAGAATAAACGAATGAATTTAGGTTCAATAATGATAAAATTCTAGGGTTTAACTGGTTTTATGATACCATTCCACGGTATGAAGGTGGGCTGAAACCACAGTAGACTGGGAAAAAGCAGCTGCAAACAAGAACCTGCAAAACAAACGCCAGTTTCATTGATGGGAGCTTTGGATGCTTTGTTGAATTCTCATCAGAGGTGAGGTCAGCAGCCTGTTTGACCTGAATGAGCTCCTCTCTGGAAGCAAACTCTGACACCAAAATGTTTTTTCCATCAGAGAGTTGGGTGAGGGACACACAGAGCCTTCCTGTGGCCTGAAGGTGGGCATCTTCAGGGAGCATCTCCAGCAGGGAGCGCTGCACCACCCTCAGCAGACTGAAGGTGGGGTGGAAAACTCCCAGAGTGTGTTTCCTAGCTTCTTTAGCGGTGATCATAATCATAAAACAGAGCTTTTCTGAAAGGGAAATAACATATCAGTGTAAATTACAGCTGCATGACATTTTCTCCTAATCGTATTATAACAAAACTATGAAACTTGGTAAACATTTCCTTTGTATGCTGTGACGATAGTGTTGACAGATGTTTTGCTCTCATTTGTATTTGTTGTTTTTGAGTATGATGTGAACTATGGAGTTTGCTCTCGCTGTTACATGAACGTAGTGTGTCGGTGAACTTGTAATGTTTGATGTTTACGGAAAGTATGAATCAGAGCACCCGTTTGCAGATAAGAGATAATATCCATGACATTTGTGAATGACCAAGGTCCAGTAAGAAGCAGAATTAATGTTTATTTACAAAAGTAAGGAGCAGTTTGTTATAAATCCAGAGCAGAGGCTGGTTAAATTTAATTTGACTAAAATGTGTACTGGGGGAACAATGTGCAACATTAATATGCAATATATAATAAAATGGCTCACCAATGGGAATCCCTACAGCCATAGCTGCTGCCACGAGACACCCAGAAGAAGCTCCACCGAATGTAGAAGCACCTTGAACCAGCCGTGGGACCCGCTCCAGGATACAACTCAGAGCTCCAACGTAATAGATGCTCCTAAACCCACATCCTGCAAAAGACATGTGCCACTCCTCGGCCCAGTTAAACATCCTGTGAGAGGTTTCCACTGACCATGCAACAAATCAGAATAACATCTATATCATCTCTCCAAAGATTGCCCACAGTCCAGCTGTTGTTCTGGATTCTTTTCAGTATTGGTTAAACATGACTTGTCACTAGAACATTGGGGGGGGGGGGGGGGGGGGGTGGGCTGGACTAGAGCTTGGATTGTGTAACTTTTGCAGTACACTATAGTGCAATTAAAGCAGCTGATTGACATTTGACTTTACACTGTGTACTGTAGGAGGGAGAGGAAAAGCTTAGCAGACGCTGAGCATTTTGATTGGCTCATGCCGTAGACCATTACGAAACACTTCATGTGGAAAATAGAAAGTTTTACACATTTGATACTCTTGGAAACTTGCGAGAGTCTCAGGCCTGGTTTGCAAAGAGGTCTGTGATCTCAAAGGAATTTGCCTGGTTAAATAAAGGATAATAAAATGCCTTTTTTTAAAAAAAAAAAGATGATTCAATTTATACCAAATGGTTTAAATTTCAGTTTGGAGTAATTTTATTATTTTATTTTCTTGTTGTCTTTTTATTGTGCTCTGTACATTTTGTAATCATGAATAATATAACTTTAATAAAAAAATTAACAATCATGTAATTCAAAATTCCCTTTGTTGCAAACAAAGCCTCGTAACTTTACAAGAACTACATAACTCCCAGTCTGTTTTTCTGTTCCTTTGATTCTAAGACACTTGGACTTTATAGAATAGAGTTGGATAAACATAACTTTAACGATGCAAATATCTGTTTTAACCACTTGGAGGCGGAAGAGTAAGTACCGTATTTTTCGCCCTATAAGTCACGTTTTTTTGCATAATTACATGCCCTGCAACTTACACACCGAAGCAACTTATTTATGTTCCCCCCCCATATTTATAAACTAATTTTTGGCTGAGATATTACTGTTTTCATCCATTCTGACACTGAAAATATTGAACACTACCATTTTCAGCTGCTAAATGGCACTCGAGTGTATGGCATGTAATAGATAAAAGTGGTTATTAATGACACGATTGGCTTGCCATACCCTGCCACCTTCATCCAGCTCGCCGGAGAAAACGTCAAATCAGCTTAATTTTTCTGCGCCGTCCCGGCGAAATGCAGCTAATTTGACCATGGAAGTGCATTAATTAAGTAAAAGTTCAACTGAGACACACCTTTGCTATAATTTTGAGCAAACAAATAATTGTTTTAGGTGCTTATCTTGTTAAAGTCCTTCCGTGCACGCTCCCACTGCCGTAGATGAAACTTTGCATAAACTAGTAAATAATAACCCCACACACATTAGATTTTATATGGCTAACCTGGTATTTTAGTAGTTTTTAAGCAATCGCAGTTTGTTATTTTATTCTTGGAAATTTTTAACCACAGTAAAATCAACTGAATTTGATATCACAAACTAAATTTTGAGAGGTCTAAATAAAAACATAAAAATATGCACCATTGCTAATGAACCCTTCATGAACTAATATTAAACTTTAACTCTTTTGCACGGCATCGATTTTTTAAAGTTTGTCGTCATTTTTCCAACCAAACAATGTCCATGTAGCTACGCAAATATATGACGAATAACCCATGTTTACGCTGATGGTGATAAATATGGATCAGTTTGCCTGATCAGCATGTCTAGTTTATTTAATTTCCAGCAGACTGATACATTCAGCAGACTCAGAACCACTGACAAATATAACAACTAGAAAATAAAAGTTTGGTCCAGAGGGAGCTTTCTTGAAGATCTTAAATGGTTGGAGACAACATTGTGCTAATTATACTCACACAACTTACAGCTAAGCACACGTTTTAAATTTAAACTCTGATTTGTACAAAAGCTGCTAAAACATCTGTGTCAGAATTGTTTTTTAATTGTCAATGATTTCTCCATCAACCCTTCTTGTGTAAAGTGTTAGTGTTGCAAACTTAGACCACGTTATCACAAATAAACCATCTCAGTCAGCTGTGCCTCCTCGCTCTTCTGCAGAAATAAAGAATTTCTTTCACGATAATGCTTTAACTGCATTCTTTTTCAATACATGCATATGTTTGAATGTTAAAAAAAGTAATATATATATATATATACAAAAAACAAAAGAACTGGACATTTATTCTGAAGTTGAAGATATTTCGCTTCCCATCCAGGAGGCTTTATCAATACATAATGAAGCCTCCTGGATATGAAGCAAAACATGTTCAGCGTCAGAATAAAATACGTTTTGTTTTTAACTGATTTTGGATTCATCATAACCTGGATGACTGAGAATCTTCACCAGCGTTTGAATATTTTAGTTGTTTATGTCATTGTTGAGCTGTTGTTTTTTTAACTACTGTTTTTCATGTGCATGTGTTTTACGTGTTTTGTGTTGGAATAGCTACGTAGAATATATTTTATATAAATAAAGTTGGATATGTTTTAATGAATTTACTAACACTTTCTACAACCTGGGTTAACAAAACTGCATCTTGACGGAACAACTTGCTTCTTACAATGACCTTAAATAGAAATCAGTTTCAGAAATCCATCATTGTTTTCTAGAAACCCTGTTCCCTTATCAATAAAGATCCATCCTGGCTGATTTGTTGGTTCAATGGAAATCCACAGTAAACAAAAACAGAACAGAAATACAGTATATTGACAGTCTTGTACTTTCACCCAACACACTTCTGCTCATATTAGAGATGGGATGCTTGACTCTTTGAAGGTGGATCATTCAATTTTAAATGGTTAGTGATGTCACATACAGCCTACGTCATCGTGCACCACATGACTTATCAAGTTCGCAAACCCCCGTCCCCTGAGAACTTGTTACCTGAATACAATTGCTGTGCTCTTCTCTTTTGCCTGTTCATCATCACAGTGGAGAAACAAGTGTGTGAATGTGCAACGTTGGCAGCTATACCCAAATATAAGGACTGAGGAGAAGAGATGCAAAGACTCAGAAGGAGTTAACAGGGTTAATGCACAAGTGATAAATCAGGTAGCAAGTCAGGGAGGAGGCTGGAACTGATGGAGGTCGGGGTCAGACGTGCTGAGAGCTGATCCAAATGGTGAAGGAGGTGTACGTCTGAGCAGTGGCATTAGGCAAGTAAAGGCGTGGAGGCAGCTGAGGATGCAAAGAGGAGCTCAAGGTCCGAGGATTCAAGAAACAGGAGGACATCAAGGGTTAATCACTAGAGGCATGGCGAGAATACAAAGTCATTACTATTTGGTTTAAGACATGAGTAAAAGGCTAGAACAAGACTACAGTTGGCAGGTAATGCTCCAGCACTGGCTGAATGTCTTATGCATCCCTTTATGCTCCTCATGCACATCAAGTCAATGATCCACAGGTGTTGCTGATTAGAGTCTGGCCGTGGGTGCAGGAGCTGGCAGAGCAGAACTCCCACATGTGTGTCTGTCTGAGGCAAAGGTCATGAGGAAGATTAGTTAAAAAGGAGCAGATCTCAATTGTCTGCACGTTCCCAATGCTCACGTTAAGCTGCACATGTAAAACGCATCTTTCACTATGTCACGTGTCGGTCGCAGGGGAAAGCAGGTAAATCAACTTGTGTCATCTCATCAGTCCAACAGTCATGAACCTTTTGACAGAAACTAATGCACACATGTAAAGTCAGGCACCATACACCCAAATGCATTCATTGAGATTATTGTGATTTAAAAAAAAATATTGATAAAAGTAAAGGCAACGATGAAACGTACTTAAGGATAATTTCTTGTTGGATAAAATGGCAATGGTCAGTGAAAGTAATAAATGTACACAAATGACAAAAGTTGATTAGATAAAGAACCAGAGGCAGGAATATATCTTAAACACAGTGCATCGCAAAATGCTGACTTTGAACATGTCCATTGACAGAGAGCGTTTCTTTATATTCAAGTTTCGTTATTGTCATTCGCATCACGTGGTACATGAGGTGGAACGAAATTACGTACACAGTGTCCCAGTTACATCCAACAATAGCAAAAATATAAAGTGTAAAAAGAAACATTAATAAGGATCTAAGATATAAACTAAGAAATACGCTAAACACTAATAGTGCAAAACAATACGCCAAACGACAGCAGCACGAACATGAGTCTGTGTGAGCAGATGAGTGCGAATGAACACAGCCGCATGAAACAAATCAGCAGCATGAGATCAGCAGCATGGATAATCAGCAGCACATATCACCAATCAAAGTGACGTGATTTTTTTTCACAGTGATGACCCTGATTAGGGATTTATGAGTCTAACATATTCAGGGTATAAGCTGTTCCTCATTCTAGTGATTCTGCACTTAATTCGCTGCAATTTTCTACCTGAAGGGGCAAAAAGTGTGTGTGCTGGGTGAGTGGGGTCCTTCATGATGCAGGCGGCCCTCTTCCTGCATCTGGCGGTGTAGATGTCTGTGATGGTGTGGAGGCTGACTCCAACAGTCTTCTGTGCAGCCTTCACCACTCTCTGCAAAGCTTTTCTTTCATATTCAGTGTTGTCTCAGATGCTGTAATGATTGTAATAAAAATAATAATAATAAAAGAGAAACTGTATTTGGTTTTATGTGATGTATTTTACCACCACAGTTGTGATGCTGGTTTCCCTCCTGCTGCTCACACAGTTCTGTCTCTGAACGTTCCTCCCAAAATTACATCACTTATTATGGCTTCTCTCTGAGCTACACAGGCTTAATGATACAAGTACATTTACCTAATCTACTAATAAATTACAATGAAGGCACACAAGTGAAGCTTCAGCAACAACAGAGGAGCAGAACCATTAACGTGTCTGACTGAAGCCACTTTATCTTGGAAGAAATTGAGCAAGTTCTCAGATAGTTGCTGTATCGTCTGGTAGAACACAAGCGACAGGACTAACACCAGAGTTAATTGTGTTAAATTATACTCAAGGCTGAAATTAAGAGCCATTAAGAGGCAGTTTGCCTCTTTAACAGATCTCTGGTACTTACCAAGACAGTCTCAGAAGTTTTGAGATGGAGGTAGTTTTTCTTTCTTCCACTGTTAGTCTGCTTTACTGCTTTTTTGCCTGAGAAGGTGTGGCAACATTGAACCACGGATCTGCTCTCGGTTTGGTGGATCTAAGCTGAAAAGGCGTAATGGAGTCCAGAGTTTCAGAGCAAATGGTTTGGAAAAAGGTAAGGAAATCATCTGGACAAAGTTAGTTGGAAACATAAAGCTGTGAATTCATTTTTAAAGGCCTAGGATTTCTGCACTGAATGTGTATCAGCTGCTGCTTTTCATGAAGAAATCTATTAATTTACAACATCAATTCAGAAAAAGTTGGGACGTTGTGTAAAATGTAAATAAAACAGAATGCACTGGTTGTAAATCTCATATGCCCAGATTTTCTTAGCAATGGAAAAATAGTAAATATATGTTTAAACTAACATCCAATGTTCAAACTAGGAAATAGTACAATTGTTTTTATATTATAGCAGCAACACGGTTAAAAATCGGGGACAGGGCCACCAAAAGTCTGTATAAGTAAATGGTACAGATAAGAAATAGCAAAAAGAGATTTTACAACTACGCAGGTTGATTGTAAACATTTCAATAAAAGGACTGGGTATAAAAATAATATTTTTACAGAGTCTGAATCGCTCAGAAGTAAAAGTCAGAGGTCCATTTATTTACAATAAATTGCATCTACAAATAGTTGAACAACTCCACGGGCTCAGCGACACTCCCATCAGTTATTATCTGTAAACATAGTTCGCCATGCTATCCACAAATGCTGGTTTTATCATGCGAGGTGTGATCACCATCCAGAAATGCCTCCATCTTCTCTGAGCCAAAGCTCATGTAAAGTGTAAAACTGTTCTGTGATCAGAAATAGTAAACTTATTATTTTGAATTTGGTTTTTAAACTGCAGATGCCACATCTTCTGTGCTGAAGAGGAAAGGCCTGTTGTAAGCACTCTGTTCAAAAGCCTGCCTTTCTGATGGTATAGGGGTGCATTAGTGCCTATGGCATGGGCAGCTAACACATCTGAAAAGGCACAAACAATAAATACAGGTTTTAGGACATGTTTCCATTCAGGTTACGCATTTTTCAGAGAAAACCTTGAATGGGAATGAACTTGTTGAAGTCAACTGACCTTCAGCAATTCAATGCTAAACCACAAACCACGTCCATTTTCATCCAACGTGGGCCTGAAGTAGAAGAGTAGGTGCTGAGCTGACCTGCAGTCCAGACTTATCACCAACTGAAAACATTTAATGCATCATAAAAAAAACAATTCCAGGAAATACCAGGCCTGTTTAAACAAGTAAAATCCTACATCAGACAAGAATGGAACAACATTCTCCTCTAAAACCTCTGCAGCTGGTCTCCTCAGTGCATAAATGTTTACAGGCTGTTGGTAAAAGAAGTGGGGATGCTTGAAAGAGACAAGCATAACCCTGTCCAAATCTTTTGGAGATGCATTGCTGCCATAAAATGTAATTACATTCTTTTTTAAGGAAAGTGTAGAAATGAAGTAAAACCAAATGCATTCTGTTTTTATTTACATTTTACACAACACTCCGATTTTTTAAATTAAGGTGGCAAATCTTTGTGAACTGATAAAAAAAACAAAAAAACCAGTTCACAACTTTTCTCTAATCTCTAAATTATTAACTCAACTATTTCACCCAGTAATTAGATCATCTGTCGTCATCACAACAGTCTTAGGATCCTCCCCTGTTGTATCAGCATCCAAAGGTGAAAGGTCAACAGTGAGATTGAGCAAGTCTGTGTGGATCAGAAGCTCTTTTCTGATTGGCTGGAAACGGTCACGTGGTTCCCAACTCGCTGTCTGTAAATAGTTGCATGTTTCTTTTAAACATCTGTATTCAGCATTGCCTGAACACACACCAGCTGTTTAAAGATGAGCATCCCAGTGGTGGATTTTAGCACCTATTCTCTGAGAGAGAGAGATGTTCCAGAGGAACAGCTGCAGAAACTGGCCGAGGAGCTGAAGAAGGCCTTCGTAGAAATTGGATTTGTTCTGCTCACGAACACTGGGATCACCCAAGAGGAGGTAAAGCCACATCACAAAACTTATCTACGCTTGTTCAATGCGCATATTCATTATTGCACGTCCCAAAAAGGCGGGCGATACTGTTTTTGTCTCTGTGTGTGTCATTAGTTTGTTTGTTAGCAAAATATCTCATGAACAACAGGACTGATTTTAATGAAACTCCCAGAAGCTGATCATTGGGTATACATCTAGAAGTGATAAACTTTTAGAGCAAGCCCAATTTAAGACGGCCGCCTCAACCAACCTAACTCAAAAACACAAAAACATCTGTAACTCAGTCATTTGAGCCGATAGAGAATTAGAATTTGGTGTTGCAGTAGCTGACACAGACACCAAAAACATATAAGTGCTATCAGATAGCACACGGTTTATGTTTAAACATTTTCCATTAACTATTTGGGAGTCCACTTGATTCGTTAGCTTAATATCTCATGGAGCACTGGACTGATTTTAATTAAACTTTCAGGAAATCATGGTGCCACGGTGGCTCAGTTAGTAGAGCTGCTGCCTCTGCGAGCAGGTTGCCTGTTCAAATCTCGGTCGGGGGGCCTTTCTGGGTGGAGTTTGCATGTTGTTGCATGAAGCAGGCTACACCCCAGGAAGGCAGCAGGCCTGGACAAGACATGCCCCAGGATGCTCAAGGCATGTGCTGACCAACTGGGGGAGCATCTCCAACATGTCTTCAACCTGAGCCTGCATCTCGGGAGGGTCCCTGTCACATGGAAGACATCCAGCCACATTCCAGTTCCTAAGAAGGCACACCCAAGGAGCTGATTGACTACAGGCCAGTCACCTTGACATCTCGGTATTAAGACACTGGAGCAACTGCTGTTGAAACTCCTTAGACCTGAGGTTCTCCACGCTGAGGACCCTCAACAGTTCGCATACAGGGAGAAGGTGGGAGTGATGCCATTCTCTACCTTACGCTCACCTAGACAAAGGAAACGGTGCTCTGAGGGTCATGTTCTTTGACTTCTCCAGTGCCTTCAACACTATCCAGCCCCTGCTACTGAGAGACAAGCTTGAGGAGATGGAGATGGACACAGATCTGGTCTCCTGGATTACACACTATCTCACTGAGAGACCAGAACACGACAGGATCAGGGACCTCCGGCACAATGATTAGCAGCACAGGAGCACAGCAGTGCTTTGTTCACCCTGCACACATCTGACTTCAATTATAACTCGGAGTTGTGTACTCAGCGTCCCAGTTACACCCAAAAATAGCAAAAATATAAAGTATCAATGTAATAGCAATGTACATATGCATATATATACAGTATATATATGCATGTATATGTGTATGTATGCATACATATATATGTTCTAGAATTGTGCCGCTCATGGAGTAGCTCTGTTACATTCATTCTGATTTATTGCTTTTGAAAACTTTAATTCCTCCTTTTTCTGGATGTAAATCACTTTCTTACGAGGATTATTTCCTCTGGTATCGGATGCTGTGCAGCTGAAAGGATTTTTACTGAAACCTTTTTACTTTTGGACATTTGTTATGATGCGTACCCATGGCAACAAGGTGTTTCTGTTTTTTTTAACAACAAGGAGCAGCTGATTAACATCTCAAAAGCTCAAATATCTCAACTACAGCCCCAAATCACAAATGAGTTGAAAAGGAGGCGCCATGGATGAATTTCCGTCAACCTGGCAGTGGTGGTCAAGTACCTGACCACCGAGATCCTGGAGCTGGTGAGAAACTCGGCTCATGAGGAGCTCTGCAGACTGCTACGAGGAGTGCCCATCACTCAGGGAGGAATTCTGCCTGGCATTTGGGCAATCCTGCTGCCCAGGAGGACCGAGAGGCCCGCTGGATCTGACAGCAAGCTGGATCTGGGTGGACGGATCGGTATCTGTGGCCAGATCCTTGGGCTTCTCTACTGGAGATCCTTCCTGCCCACAGCTATCAGCATCTATAACAACTCTTGAATGAAACCAGGATGTTGAGCTACGACAACACTTAATTTCCTTCTGGGATTAATAAAGATTTTTTTGAATATATAGGTTAATAATGAATGTAGTACTCTACCACCTTGTGCATGTGTATAGTCATGTTCCAAATTTGTGTATTCTGCTTTGTTTTTGATTATTTCCTATGTGTTTTTTGTTCTCTATAATTAGAACATACTGGATGCCTTGAATTTCCCCCGGGATTCATAAAGTATCTATCTGATTAATAAAGTATCTATCTGATTAATAAAGTATCTCTCTATCTAGCTGTCTGTCTGGCCATCTATCTATCTAGGTGAGAGTGAGAGAGTGAATGGTTGTTTGTCTCATTTGTCTCTATGTGTCCTTGTGATGGACACACAGAGGGTGTCCCCCACCTCTTGCACAGTGACTGCTGGATATGGTTACCAGTGACCCCGTGACCCTGAAAGGAAGAAGCAGGTAAAAGATAACTGATGGATGGATGGCTTTTGTTGAATGTATGCGAATGTTTCTGTTCAGTGCCCTGAGACGACTTCTCTTGTGACTTGGCGCTATATTAAAAAATTGAATTGAATTAAGTGTTTTGCAGTTAACCTTGTTGGTATTTTTCCAAAACCACTGAACAGATTTTAATGAATCTATCAGAAATAATTACAGGATGTACATTTACAGCTGGTTACTTTTTGGAGTCAATGCAATTCAAAATGGCTGCCACAACAATGGACATTAGCCAAACCAACACTGACTACAACTCATTGGGCTTTATAGATCCTTTGCTAAAAGTTGATGTCGTCAAAGCTGAGATTATTTATAACACATACTCTGAGCAATACGTGTCCTGTTATCAGTTGATATTGCACAATATATAACATGTACTCATTACAGCTGTGTTGCTTTTAACACGAGATAGTTTTAGTTTAAAACTGTAAGAAATGCTAGACTTTAATTCACATTGTCTTCATATTGTGTTTAAATAGGTGGACCAAGTCATGGACATATCCTTGAAATTTCTGCTGCAGCCTAACGAACTGAAAAAACCCTTCATCAGACAAAGCTTCCCAAACAATCTGAACCACGGCTGGGTGCCCATGGAGACAGAGAAGTAAAAAAACTCAGAAAACAAGAAGTATCAGGTGTTTTCCACACAGTTCAGTTTTTAATTCAGATTATGTTTTTCAGGCTGAGTCCAAAACGACCTGCAGACCTAAAGGAGGCGTTCAACACTGCTTCATTTCACCCTGACATTGTAATAATTCACTTTAAATTATGTGCATTACATTCAAATGTATTTGGATGCATGTGACAGTGTTTAAGAAGCATGCTGTTGCCTTTTTTTTTTTACTTAAATTTTAGAAAACGTCATGCTTTCATCATAAATATATCAGTCAATTTGATCTTATCTTTGTTCTGCAGAAATGGCCTTCATCAGATGCTGTCAAAGGTTTCAAAGAGATCCACACGTCTTTCTTCCAGCGCTGTAAAGAGCTGAGTCTGCGGATCCTGAGGGTGATGGCCCTCAGTCTGGGTCTGGATCCAGATGTTTTCCTGCGTGCACATCTTCTCATAGGCAGTATGATTACAGCAATGTTGAGTTTTCTTGTGCAGGGGTGGGCAAAACATTTTCTAAACGGTCATTTTGAAATTGTTTAAAAGTGGTGACTGTTAAATATTTATTTAGAGTCACACAAATTCTGGTCCCGATTTTGCCCAGTGGTGCAGTCATATCTACGAAAAAAAAATAAAAAAAATCCAGTTTTGGTGTTTTAGAACTATACATAATAATATCAGAAATGTTTGAGACAAATTCCAGACACAAATTGCAGTGACAAAAGAGGGAGGTCCCGGGACTCCCTCGAGTAAATTGTCAACCTTTGCAAACATTTTGAGCCATTTTGAAACCTCCATTGCAAACGCTGTTTATTATTTGTCACCAACAGACGCAGCCCAGTGAGATGTTATTCAACCTTTATTTAGACAGGTTGCTGTTAGCTGATGTTAGAGAGATGTTAGCTTAAAGCAGCAGTCATAAAGAGACAGAACTGGAACCCTGAAGTTGAAGCCACGAAGAAAGAGTGCCCTCAATGGCTGCAAGACGACTTATAAGTCCAGACCATTTCTGTAACTGAATGGGACACTTCCTGACAAATAATAAGAATACACCTCAGATAAAATGCTGGGTGTTGACTTTTATTTACTCATGAAGCTCTTACCTTACTGCATTTTTAAATAATGTAACGTCTTATGTGTTGTCATCATTGTATGTTCCCATACAATGGCAAAATTGGCTCTCAGCATTTAATCCTTCCACCCGCAGGTGGTGCAGTGGGCGGCTATTGGGGGCGCCCGGGGAGCAGCTGGGGATAGGGTGTCCTGCTCAGAGACACCACGAGATGTGCGATGACTGGGGATTGAGCCTGGGACTTTCGGGACCTGAGTCAGTTTCCTTGCCTCTACCCCATCTCGGCCCCCATATTCAGTTTCAGTTTGTTATCTAAGGCTTAAAAAAGTGTCATCACACTAATTGACAGTGTGACACCCTGTTAGTGAGAGTGCAGGCAGTACTTCTGTATCAGTGGTACAGCCCTACAACACTGGCAGCGCACAAATCATGGACAGTTTGGCTTCAGTTTTGGACAGTTGAAGTTAACGAGATGCTTCATCCATCTTCATTTATGTCAATGGTTGGGACTCTACTGGGTTCACGACCACTAATTTGGGCATCCTGAGATGATTTCCAGAATTCTTTTAAGTGATCGCCAATAAAAGAAGAATCAAGAGGGCACAACTCAACCTTATAAGACTGCTAATAAAACGCTTCTATTCCTACAAAATATCTCAGGTGTTAGGATAAATAAACAGCTGAACGTTTGATGAGAGGGTGTTTTGTTATGAAATTGTTTAATTGTGACAGTAGCAATGTCTCCATGCTCCAACACACCCGATTCAGTGATTTAATTACTTCCTCATTCAAATTCATTCAAATCTGGGGTTTTAAAGCATGGAAACAACTAAAACGTGCAGGATGGTGTTCCTCAAGGACCACAGTTTGGAACCACTGATTTAGAGTAACGTCAACGAAGCTTCCTGTCAGACTGATTGTGCATGAGCAGAGTGGACCTCACATGGTGATAGAGCTGCGGTGTCTCCTGTAGCTGATGAAAATGCCACAACAATGCGGTCCCTGTACTACCCCCCAGTCAAGACGGCAAAGGAAAACCAGCTGCGATGTGCAGAGCATTCAGACTATGGCAGCATCACTCTGGTGTTCCAGGGCTCTGATGGACTAGAGGTAAACCATTAATCTACTTTTCTAAATATGAGACTGCATCTTCAGCCATAAGACCCCCCAACCTGATGCTGATCTCCCTTCAGGTTTGTACACGCACAGGTGACTACATCTCCGCACCCAACGTCCCCGGAGCCGTCCTGATCAACATCGCTGACCTGATGCAACGCTGGACTGCTGATCAGTTTATCTCTGTGGTGAGGATTGATTTCTCACATTTATTTTTCTTCTCATGTTGGTAAGCATGTGCAACATTAGGTTAACCATTGTGAGAGTATATTAATTTCTTCCATTACCTATTATGTGGTGCAATCACATTACGGTCCACAACTTTTGCAGCCACGTTTTTCCATATCATCACACTCCCACCTTTGTGCTTCACTGTCAGGACTGAGCAGTTAAGCTTATTAGACTTTAAGAAAACATGCTCACAGACATCGTAGCATCTATGCATTGATACATAAGTCATCAATGTAGCTCGTCTTTAACTTCAGCATGTGAAAAACATTATTTAAAGCTTCTAATGTCGACCTGTTCCACAGAGTCACAGGGTTTTGCTGCCCACCGCTGGATTTCACAGCACTCGACAGTCTGTGGCTTTCTTCGTCCATCCAGACAACGAAGCCCTGATCACCAGCTGCGATGGATCAAACAAGTACCCGCCCATTAAAGCAGGCGACTACGTCACTCAAAAATTCAACGAGTCATATAAGCAAAATTAAGCCTAAAAAGTCTGACATTTTTTCCAGTGCATGATAAAAACATGTGATCATAGGTGTGACCGATACTTTACAGGTCACTCCGGATTCACAGTAGATTTGTATTGTATAAACTAAAAGCAGTTTTTATTTTTCATGACTATTTCAATATGATTATAGCTTAAAAATATGAGCTAGGGAGGTGCTTCGGGCATGTCCGACTGGGAGGAGAACCAGGGGAAGACCCAGGACACGCTGGAGAGATTCTGTCTCTCGATTGGCCTGGGAACACCTTAGGGTCCTCCCAGAAGAGCTGGAAGAGGTGGCTGTGGAAAGAGATGTCTGGACCTCCCTGCTCAAGCTGCTGCCCCTGCGACCCGGAAGACGATGCATGGATGAATATGAGCTAATGATGCAAATGTTACACTTGCAAGTTCATTCATTTTATTAGCAACATTTGAATCATGTACATGGTTATGGACTAATTGTAAAAATGTTGAGCTGCTTCTGAATGGTACAAAAAAGATCTACAACCTGCTGCTGCTTCGGTTAAAAAGTTGCTTTTGCGAAAGACCTACAGCAATAAAATATAATTAAATAAACTCCTTTAAGAAAAAAACATGTATGACTTTCTGCATTTTTCTTATGGGACTATAATAAAAACTATATTCTGTTGTTTGCTTTCCAGTTAATTTAAAGAATAAATAAATACTTTAAATATAATGAATATGACCTAAGATGTACAAACTGAGTACTGGCACACATAACTTTAAAGATTCACTTTAGAAATCAAAATTGTTAAACTATGTAAACAAAGTTGAGAGAAAAACCCTGAAAAAAAAAACGAAATATATTCTACAGTAACGTCATCTGGTCTGATCTGTTGCTGCATCAACTGCAACAAAAATTAACATATTATGAGGGAATGTACACATGAAACATAAAACTTTATGCTGGAAGGACTCAAAATGTTTCTAGTCAAAATAAAAGTAACTATTTCCTGAAAGAGACTGTATAATCATAAGTGTGCACTAAACAAAAGGACGTTACCACATCCCTGTCTTTCCATTTCCCCAAAGAAATTCCCACAGACTAGTTGTGACAAAAGTTTTAAATAAACACAAAACAAAACGTACTAATTGCCCACAAAGAAAACTAGAGCCGCTCCACATTTCAGGTTTAGCTCATTCTGCTGATCTGGCCGACAATAGGAGCGATATCACTGGCACTACTGAGGCATGACAATCATGATAATCAGGGTCTCATGTGCTTCTTAAACATAGGCCTTTTTTTTGTCAAATGGTTAGAAAATCTTGAACATAAAAAATATGGCTCAACAAAACACCAATGAACACACACATTCACTCATAAAGCACAGTGGCGAGGCCTAAGAGTGTCCTGGCACAGGTACATGATGTTGCTGATGAGCAGGAGGCAGTGGTTGGCTGTGCGCTGGTACGACTGGTGTTTGAGGACTTTCTGTTGAGTGTTCTCCTGGTTCTGCAACAGGAAATCACATGTGCACAACCTGAATTAGTTGAGTTTACAATATTGTATTACAGACATTTGTAGAGTTAGATTTGGAAAATCAAAGACTGAGGCCAACGGAGTGATTGAATTAAAAAAAATGTTACAAGTACCTAAAAGAAGAGAAAAACAATTGGTTAGCAAAATAATTTTCTGTTATCACCTGCCACCAAAAGATGGAGGTGGACAGTAAAGTTTTTCTGTGTCTGTGTTTCCGCTCATTATCTGCGCTAGCAAAATATCTTATGAAGTACTAGACAAATGTTGAAGTAATCACGGATGTACTTCTGCAACCGATTCACTTTTAAAGTTACCCAATTCAAGATGGCTACCACAGCAAATGACCTCAAAACAACAAGAAAAAAATGCAATAGTACAGTCCATTTGACAAATTGTGTTTGAATTGTTCTTTAGCTATAGAGCGTAATCACATACTACGACGCTACTCAATGCCCAAAGTCTTTGCTTAAAACTTTACGTCTGGCGACCACACTGCGCTCAGAACAGCCAGACCCAACCTAAACTGCGCCATAAAGAAAGCAAAACGTGCCCACGCTATGAAGGTGCAGAGCTTTTTCCAAGATTCAGCCAGGAGCATGTATGTGGTGAGGCATCCAGACATAACTACAAGGACAACAAAATGCCTTGCCATGACAAAGCAGAGTTCCTGAAAGAACTCAACAAATGTTTTGGCAGCTTTGAGGCACAAAACAACTCGCCAGCAATGAAGGAAACCCACCACCTGACGAACAGTCCCTGAGCCTCGAAGCAACAGGTCTGCAGGACAGTGAACAACAAACACCAGGAGAGCAGCAGGACCCGACAATATACCAGGAAGAGTACTCGAGGAACGTGCAGACCAGCTCGACTCTGTGCTGACTGACATTTTTATCAACTCCCTGAAGCAAGCCATCATTCCCTCCTGCTTCAAGGCAGCCACAATCATTGGCACAATCAGTGCCTGAAAAACAAACAACAGCCTAAAGGACCATCGCCCCGTGGCTCTTACGCCTATCATGATGAAGTCCTTCAGACGTCTTAAGCAACACATCACTTCTAATCTTACTCCCTCCTTTGACCCATTCCAGTTTGCTTACTGCTCCAACTGGACAACATAGGATGCCATCGCCTCAGCACTCCACCTGAGCCTGCAACACCTGGAGGAGAACACCACCCATGCACGAATGTCGTTTGTGGACTTCAGCTCAGCTTCAACGCAATCATCTCACAGCACCTGGTCAGACAACCGGCTCCACTAGGCTTCAACACCACCTTCAGGAACTGGATCATTGACTTTCTCTCTGACGGAGTCAGTACAGTACAAGTGGGGAGGAACACCTCCTCCGTTATCAGTCTGCGCATGGGCGTCCCCCAGGGCTGCGTTCTGAGTCCGCTTCTCTTTACTTTGAGAATCTATGACTGCATTTCCAGGTCTGAGACCAACCACATCATCAAGTATGCAGATGATACCACGATCGTGGGCCTGATTAGCATCAACAAAGATCAGGCATATTGGGAAGAGGGGGCACACCTTGTGAACTGGTGTGGGGAAACCTGGTTCTGAACGTCAACAAAACAAAAGAGCTCATTATTGACTTCAGGAAAACAAAGCCACATCACACACTGCTGCTCATAAACAACACAAAGGTGGAGGTGGTGGAGAGCACTGGGTTCCTGGGGTTGCACATAGCCAATCAGCTGCCTTGGTCAAGAAACACTGGGTCCCTAGTGAAGGAAGCCCAGCAGCATCTGCACTTCCTCTGTAGGCTGAAGAGATAACCCCTCGCACCCCATGTCCTCACCACAATCTACAGAGGAACCATCAAGAGCATCATGACCAGTTGCATCTCAGTTTGGGAAGGAAGCTGCCCAGCTGCAGACTGGAAGGATTTGAGGAGGGTGGTGAGAACGGCAAAGAAGATCATTAGGACACCCTCCCCATCCATCCAGGACATTGGTCCCATACATTGTCTGACCAGAGCCAATAAAATCAAGAGACAACACAATATGGACTGTTTACTCTGATGACCTCTGGCAGGAGGTACCACAGCCTGAAGACCAGAACCACCAAGTTGGTATTAAAATCAGTGGGTGATATGCATTCCTTAAACAAATGCTATGCCTTTAATGGTTAGTCTAGTGTAAAACATAATTCTTGCTACAGTCTTAAAGAAAATAAAAAAGTTTATGGTTTCATTATTATGAAATTTGTTATTTTCTCCTACAAGCCAAAGAAGGGGTACTACTGAAGCTTGCTTTCATTTTTCTGAGATGAACAGTTACTAAGATGTTATACTGTACTTACGTTTTACTTCAGCTTTGACAGTTTGAGTCTTGATTCTTTCCATTTCTTCCATTGCCTGAGCAGATGTAGGATAGAGGAAGTTATTTAGTTGTACTGAAGCTACAAAAGTAAAGGCTTAAGATCATTGTTTCATGCATAAATGCATGTTTTAAAAAAAGGTAATTTTTTTGTTTTTAGCTTTAACCCGTTTGTTTCATGTCAGAAGGGGAAGAAGCAAACGGTGTGTGTTGCACAGTCTTACATTCTAGTAACTAATTGATGCAACTTCGTATTAAGACAGTTTACAGGTAGTGACATGACGGCAAATAAAGTATTTCAGTAATATGAAATCAGCAACAATCATTTAAAATGTGAATTATGGTAAATTGGGCAAAACCAGACTACTCAGAAAAAAACCTTCCATGTTCTTCATCAGTAGCAACACAATGTTCCTGAATCACCTGCTTTAGCTCCACCTTCTGAGCGTTCAGCTCCTCCTGTTTTTTTTCGAGCTCCTCCCTTTGTTTCTGCAGCTCAGTGGACCTGTGGTTGAGGTATTTTTCCTCATTGGCCAGTTGCTGCTCATACTCCCTCAGCTCCTCCTCGGTGTAAAAGGGATTTTGATCTAAAGTCTGAAGGGCAGGAAAGTAAAGGGCATAAATTAATAATAAAAACTTCAGGTATAATGTTAGAATTAATAAATATTGTCTGGTCAAAACAACAGTAGTTAACTGGCTAGATGTCACTTACCCCCAACTGAACAAATCAGTAAAAAGGTTTAAACACAAACATTTTCTGAGCTCAAAATGATGTAATGACAAATATAAACACCACTAAAGTTGATTCAACAAAATATTGGAGCAACTTTGTGATTTTCTTCTTCAGACCACTGTGGACAACTAGCCTCTCTGCAACACTTTGCACTCCATACGGCCTTAAAGGTTGTATGCTAAACGTTCAGCTGTAGAGCAGCATTTCAAATGATCACATGACAAGAGATCATTGTAGTCTGGTGCCTTATTGTATAATGCCTTGGTATAGACTCTTATAGTATACCAGAAATATTGGGGTTCAAATTTTCCTGCACTCCAATCCCATTTTAAAGCACTCTTCAAAATGGCTGACCTCAGACCAAATTTACTGTATAATGAGTCTTCTAGACTGCATGAACAGTTCATCTTGGTGTCTAAACATATGTTTTTGGATACGGGATCATTATTATTGTCCCTGTGATGGACTTGCTACCTGTCCAGGGTGTACCCCGCCCCTCACACAGTGATTGCCGGACATGGGCACCGGCAACCCCCGTGACCCAAAATGGAAGAAGCGGGTAAAAGATAATGGATGGATCATTATTATTAGATATTGCATTATTATTACACTATCATTAGTCTTGGTGAAGTGGCCATCTTGAAATTTCAAAATGGCTGCCCAAAGGAGCAAAAGTTGCAAGATTTAGTTTCTAAGAGACAAAGACATAATATTAATGACTAAACCTATGTTTTTTGTATGGCCAATGTATTTTTTATTTACATTTTCATCTTTAATACATTAATGGTAAATATAATATTCCAATATGGTTCAAAATGTAATGTTCCATATAATTTTGTCTGTTATGCTGTCTACATTTGCATAAGGTACACACTGTAGTTAAGTTATTTATGTTAACAACTGGAAGTACATTGTTTATTAGAACTTTCAAGGGTAAGAATAAACGAAAGACGAGTTTAGCCATAACATTAAAAGACTTCAAATACTCAGCAAATGCGCAGAAATTGTCTGACCTAGTTCTTGCATTTACTCATCGAATTGAGAGAATGATGGACAGTTACATATCAGGTTGTTTGGTCTTTGGTAGATACATTAAGCTGTCCTTGAAAATAGGACACGGATGAAGTGGGCAACAACATCAGTGGAGTACGACATTCACCTTGAAATGAAGCTGACAATGACCTTGAAGGAACCTCAAACACAAAAGCAAAGTTGACAATACTTCTGGCTGAGAGTCTGTTGCAGCATTTTGTATCTTTCAAGCTTGTGGTGGTGTATGGAACCTCAAGCAAAGGACAAGATTTTGAAGCTGAACATTGCCATGAAGAAGCTGCCACCTTAATACCAAACCAGATACGACTGTCTGAACACCTGCGATGTCAATGAAAACTGTACGTGGTCCCCGGATACAGATGAGCTGACACTACTAATGGACCTGGTGTCTTGTGGTAGGCTTTGTCCAAGTGCTGCTCTGAAATTCCTCACTGGGAAATGGTCAAAGTACAGAGAAATCAATGTCAAGCAAGGGGAAGCATTTGGATCTCCAGAGACCATGGGTCTGATTGGTCTTCACCATTTCTCTGACTGAGGGGGAGGCGATTTATTGGCTTGGCATAACCAAGGAAAGTTGGGTGGAGGCATACGTGAAAATAGGTGATGATGACCCAGCCATCAGGTACTTTCAGGACCTGGGAAACAAGAATTGTTCAACAAGAATTGATGGGGAACTGCCACCACAAATCAAAGGTTTGGAACAGTTTGTAAGGTGCACCATTTTAACCTTGGTGTCCTCAGTCTGTTTCTATGAGTAGCAAGTCGCCCTAAAACATTTGATTGTTGTACATGATGATTGATTGTTTTGGATAGATGGGTCCTTGCATGTGTTAAAAGTCTGCTTCAGAGATTCCCACAGGAGATTGGCTTGAAACACAGCAATGAAGGCTACTTATGGGACAGATCAGGTTGGCAAGCCACAGACTGATGAAGTCTTTCGGATGGAAGATGAAACGTTTCTCCCTTAAACTGGTCCAGATGACACAATTTAACCTTTTTTGTAAGGTGTACTCTTCCACTAGTCCATCATCCATCCCTTCTTTGCATTGGGAACTAGTCTGCTCTAAGAATCTAGAAGGACAAGAGCAGCCCTACTACCTCATTTCAAATTAGTCATCTACATGGCAATGAGAAATAAGTCCTATCCTACCAAATGCTCAAATCTTCCAGTGGTTGAACATAATGGATAGAATGTAGAGGATGATGTGTATGTATCTGTCAGGTGTTTGAATCCATCTGCACCACGTGTAGTCACTGAGTTAACAAAATATGGATGCAAAACTGCAATGGAGCAAGATGCAGTTGAGTGAAGAACTGCTTGCCTTGCAGCCGTCATTGTAAATACTACACAGTGGTGTGTGACAATACAGCAAGAAATGATGAGCATGGCTCTTATGATAATAATAATAATGAACTAAACTATTGAAGTGACTTTCTCGTGTAAATAATTGTTTAGTATGTGCTCTACTGAAGCACAATGGATACAGGACAGCGTGTTAAGACCAAATTATGTCTTACACTGTTTATTAAATGCATGTCTACATTTGATTTTGAGTTTTATAAACACAAATTAGTCTATGTGAATCAAAGTTATGGATCATAATGGCATACTATTATTCATGTGCAGCATGGCCATTTTTATTAAATTTCATATTAAAAGGTAAATATGTAAACAAGAATCAGGTTGACTTTCTTGTTATTACTTTTGTTTTTATGTTACACAACTAGTATTGGTTTGTAAAATGGATATTATGTGCTTGTGGTTTGTAATAAAAATTATTTGGCAATAATATATAGATATAAATAACCCGTTTATAGTTTTTCTAACTTTAGACTGAGCGTATTCATTGGACGTTTGGGTAGCATTATTAGAAATTAGACGAACTGTAGATCCTGTGAAAACAACTTGTTTCCCTCAGCCATATTGAAATGTCATGAGTTTTGATGTGTAAGTGATGGAAATGAATATAATATACTTATATTCATTTCCATACTTCATGCCAGAAAACGTAGTCTAAACAATAAAATCAGGTCTAAGTGTCTCTTAGAAGCTAAACGGTGGACTTTGTGCTATTTTTAGGTGGCCATTTTGAATTATCAAGATGGACACGTCACCAAGATTAATTTATTATTATACACCTTGATATATTTTGTATCCAAAAACTTGTGTTTTGACACCAAGCTGAAGTGTTTATGTAGTCTACAAGGCTCATTTAACAGTATGTGTGATCGAAGGTCATCCATTTTGAAATGGTGGCATTGAATGGAGTTGATGCGTCAGAAAATTTGAACAACATTTCAGGTGTATATGACCCCTAAGCAAGCCAGTAGAGAATCCCAATCTTGCTCTTACCTCCCACTCCTCTTTTTGAAGGAAATCCTCCCTCTTAGTCGCCGCTATGAACTCGCTCATTGACACAAGCCTGTCTTTGTTGGTGTCCACCTGGAAATCAGAACACACGAAGCAACTTTAACCATCGGTCACCATTATTATTATTCATGACAACGTGCTAAATTCCCTCTTGCACCAGTATAAACTTATGAACTAGTCTCTATAGTTTTAGTTTCACAACTTTAATAATTCAAGTTATGATTGACAACCTGACTGTTGACAAATGATAGATGATTAAAAAAAATAAAAATACCAAGAACAATATTTTAAGGTTATAGTTAATTTTGAAATATTTGAAAAAAGTCAGATATTATATTTCAGACAATAACTCTGTGCTGAGATGTGCCCTCATTATTTGCCTGGTCTAATCAAAGCTCATCAGCATCGTATCAATAATGATCGTGACAGACACTCCATTAATGCTATGCTACTGTTAAAGCTCACCTCGTTCATAACATGCTCCCTCATCCTCAGTCTCTCTTCCTCCATCTCCACCATGTCGTCTTCTTCATTTTTAGGGTCGTACACTTTCTCAAGCTTGAGAAAACACAAGTGTTACAGCAAAGGCTCCTTCATTTATAGATGATTGGTCGAGTCAGAGCTTTAAACCAATTACCTCTTTAGTGAAAAGTGCTTCAAGTTCATTTTCATCTAAGAAGCCATCTCCATTAGTGTCTGCAAAAACAACAGGAGCCAGCACATCCCAACATTATCATCACATTATCAATATTGTTATAAATTTACATTTTTGGCAAAGATTTAATTCTCCAAAAGTCATTAAAATGTTTATTTTTCTTTCTCTCTTTCAGGGTCTCCACAGCAGGCCGTTTGATTTCACTTTAACCTATTCCAGTATTCTTCTTTATTCACTTCACATTTATAGCCACTGTACAGAAAACATCAATGAAATGTAGTTATCAACATTCCAATAGCTGCACGATTATCCTGTTTCTAAAAAAAAATACATTAAAGTGCTCATAAAAAGCAAAGCACCATAAAAATCATATACAGGATTAAACTCATAACATTTCAAACAATTCTTAAACGATATACAGTGTGACAGAATTATTTGTCATATTCTGTCACACCAACCCTCTGCAGATCCTCCTTCACTACATCCATAAACCTCCTGAGGTCTCCTCCTCCTCCCTGGCAGCTCCATATTTAACAATTAACTGAGCGACAAGAGTTTTTGTGTTAATGTTGGTAATAGTTTATCTGCTTCAGTGCCTCTTTCCTATGGGGTCCCGCAAGGCTCTATTCTTGGACCCCTTCGGTTTTCATTGTATCTGCTCAACAAAAAAAGAAACCGTCCAGATGACCTAACTGAACTTTGTTGGATTATTGTACCTGGATTATTGAGCATGAACTTTGATAGCCTCCAAACCTTCTTTTTCTCTCTTGCTGTCACAAATTGCCTCTGACACTCGTCTCCATCCACTCCACCCAGACTTTGCTCTTCTTTAGCTCACTAGTGCTCTGGTTTTAACAGGATGAGTGACCTCAGGTACTTTAACTCTTCCACCTTCAGTAAATCTACTCTCAGCAGCTTCACTGCTCCACCCGTCTTATTTTTATTCACACATGGTTTCTGACTCCCCCCCCCCCCCCTCTTCTTTCCAGATCAAACCTCCACCTCTCCAAGCTCTCCTCCACCTGCTCCATACTCACACTGCATGTTTGATTTGACAAAGATTTTACACTGGACTGTAAATGAACAAAGTTTCAAACTCAGAGAAAGCTGTACATGAATTAATACAAACAATCAAAATGCCACAGTCAGTTTGAGAAAAACATGACCTGTAGTTACCGTGCATTTTAAAAAAGGTTTTGGGGTCAAAGTCCTCTGGGTCCAAACCATCTGCTTCATGCCACACCTCTTTTAGCTGGTCTTGACTGCCCTGAACATACAAACGTTAAAAAAAACACAAAAATGTTGATATCTTGTTTTGGACTGTTATTAACCTTTTAAAACACTAAAGGTACTTTACAATTTGAATTCTGACACCATTTTGGTTCATTTGGCTTTTAAAAACAAAAAAAAATGCTGTTTTATTTTGAGAGCAACATAGGCGCTCACAAAAAATTGGACGTGCAGGGTGTTGGACTTCTAGTTTGTCAAACTCTTCTTCAGCAAAAGACCGACTTCTATGTCTTCATCAACTATGCAGGTAAAGATCTGGAGCTGGGACCAAGTGTGATCATTTTTATGTTTAGAAACTGTTGCTGTAAACACACAACATGTAGACTGTAAAAAAATGACTGATTCAAGTAAAACAAGTCATCCTTAGGGCACAAAATTCAAGACCAATCATTCATATGGGGGGAAGAAAAATTGTAAGAAGAAAAAAATGTCAAAAGTTTGGTGCATTTAAAAAAAAATTTAACACATTGGTGAGTTTGGCAAAATTATCCAGCCTATTTGTTCACAAAATATTATGTTTCAGTTGTTCTTGTAAGACATCAACACAAGTAAACACCAGTTTCCAGAAGGTAGAAAAACAGGAAGAAGACTTTAATGAGAGGAGAAGAAGAAGAAACAGTGCCTTTTCTTATGGGGTCCCGCAAGGCTCTATTCTTGGACTCCTTCTGTTTTCAATGTATATGTATCATTTACTTCTAGTAAATCTAGATTTACTAGAAATAAATAAAATAGTGGTCTTTAAGAATTGAAAGAATCTGCAGCAGAACTTGATTAGTTAAAATAAAAAAAAACCTCAAGCAATTTTTCTATTACAATAACCAACAAACCATATAAACAATAACAAAAAAGAGAAAATCATAGCACAATAAGAAAATTGTGAGGGTTTTTTTTCCCCTCAGCAAAAAACTTTTTAGAAGAAGTCTGCAACATGGATGGACTTGCAGCCTGTCCATAATATACCCTGCCTCTTGCACAATGATCATTGGACATATGCATCAGCTCTCCCAGTCCCAAGATACTACACAGAAAAGTGTGTAAAGGAAGACTGATGGAGGTCTGTAACGGCAGCAGTTTTACTAATTAAACTAAAATCCTGAAGAGAAATGTATGGTGTTGAACAGCAAATGATTTGGCTCTACATGGTGGCTTTCAGTGCAAATGGAGCCACTAGTATCTGTTGTTGACACAAAACAAAAGAGAGGCAGATGATAAAGTGGACATACTGCCTGTTCTAGTTCAGCAAAACGTAGCAAACCTGACTGGACAGAGCTTCTTACACTGAAGAAGGACCGATGATAACAGCTGACTCCATGCTGTCATACTGTGATGCAACACTTACAGGATGGTTAACTTTGGGATGGTTGGCATGTTTCTTCTTCATCTCCTCGTAGTGCTGCTCCTCCTTCTTCCGGTCTTCTTCACTCATTTTCTTCAGGCGCTCCCGCCTCTCGTGCTCCTTCATCATCTCATACCTCTTGAACTCATCGTGGTGTTTCTGGTCATAGTTTTCCAGATCTTTGGTTGCCTAAAATTGAGAGGAAAAACACGCTGCATCAAGACATTCTAGTTTTAGGGAATGTTTTAAAAAAAAATCCCTTATAGGATATTTCTTGTGTTTAGCTCCATTGGTGCAGATCGTGAGGTGCTTATCAGGTAGCAACAGTAAACACCCTTCAGTGTATAATATTACATTTTGTTGACACAAAGTAAAACCTGCTGTTTATGTTGGGCTGAGTTGTAACTGAATTTTAAATAGTGATGTTTGAGCGGAGTCTTCTTTTTTCTGTATATTAACGGTTAGAGGCAGCTGTGACTCAGGAGATCCTGTGTTTTATCCAAACACTGAAACTCAAGCTGCTGTCAATAGTAAGCTAAGAGCGAGCAAGAAACAGTTTGTGTACTGTCGACTCTCCGAAAAGTTCTCCAAGCTTTTAAATCCCAGTGAAATGCTGTTTTTTGTGACCTGAACTCACAACATAAATCACTCTCCCTCCCTACTGAGCGTTGTTAGGGCCTTTGTTGGTTTGGTCCACGTGCGAGATGTTTTTTTACATGCACAAAGGTGAAAATTCAACTCGCAAGTTCAGCACGCCAGAACATCAACTCGGTACATTTTAAAACTAGAGTTCCTAAAGTTTGGTTTGAGACCCCAATACGACACGTTAAACATCAAGTTTGGGGTCTTGACATGATTTATGGAAACAGAAGTAAATTTAAAATTGATTGCAAATAGCAATTTCATGCCATAATTGTTACAAGATAAAAAAAAAAGTGTTGTTGTAAGTGAATTAAAATAATCTAATGAGGGTTGTGCACATTATCTGTTTTTAATTAATTGGTCTAATAATGTTTGAAAGCCTGCTCTTGGACATAATTAGTAACAAAACACTATAAAGAAACTAAAACCCACTGGTTCAGCACTTGATGCAGAATTGTTTCTGACAGGATTTTGCATTTAATGATACAGATAATTTATCAACAGATGCCTTCTCAAATAACAAAAGTGAAAAGATTTTTGATATTAATCAGGCACTCTGCAGTTCAGCTTTTAAAGCAACTTCTAAAATGCTTAAAGTTTAGCTCAAACTGTTCAAGCACTTTATTACAAACCCGGTGAACCAACTTCCCCATTATTTTTAACTAACAGGAAACTTGTTGCACTCGCAAAACCAATCACTTTACTTCTAGTGACGAAGCTACAAGTTACAACATGCAACACATAAATGGCCAGAATCGCTAACAGAACTGATATGCAAGTCTAATAAACACGTTTGACTCCGACGAGGCCAACAGCAGTAATTACAGCAACAGAATGAACTGTGGTGTCACTGTGATAACAGCTATGATTCAGATAGTTAAAGCTCTGCATTGCCAAGAATAAAAGAACAGAAAGTTTTGCTCTACTGATAGCTGTGATGAATGCATTATATGGGTACCGATTGGATGAGGCGGTCCAGGTCATCCACCTCAAAAGTATGTGGGTTCATGTGGTTGAGGTGCTCAAACTGTTTCAGCAGAGCCTGGTGGTCCATGTTACCTGACAACAAAAAAAGGGGAAAATGACTAATTGCATCAGCTAGGACACATTTAGGTCATGTTTACTGCTTTAGTTGAAACTTAATGTATCAGACTTTTCACTTATTCAAGACATTTTCTGAGGCTGTGTGAGTGCATCATTCAGAAAACTGATGCAATGTTTACTCACTACTGGGTAATAGAGGTATCCTGAAATTGTTTAAGCTGAATTTCAGTTTTTAAAAAAAATTACTGCTTTGCTGCTGAGCAGAGAACATGTTTAACTACACCGCATAGCTCTTGCTTATGACCCAGCCTCTGCCTCGTAATACAAAACAGTTGTGCAACTTTAAGAAGCCCAAATGTGTCAGTGACACATCAGTAAGAGACGCCTACTCACCATTTTCCTCCTTGAGGTCATGTTTGGCTTTGATGAGCATCCTCAGCCGGTTCATCTCCTCCCTCTTCAGCTCGTCCAACTTTGTTCGAAAGTTGTGATGGACAAAGTCCAGCTCTTTAGCCAGTTTGCCTTGCTGCAGGCCAAGAGCAAGCACAGCAGGCTTCAGTTAAAAGTGCTTGTGTGAGTGAACAGATTACAAAACAGTGGGAGTTTTAGTGAGCATGTACCTTGATGTCATCCAAGTTGGCATTTTTCAGCTTTTCTCTAAAGTGGGAATCTTTCTCGAGGTACTCGATTACTTCCCTGAGGTAGCGGTCGTAGTGCAGGCCAGTGTCCTGACAAACAACATATCTCACATTTATTTTGCTTTGACACTAATGAGGGCCATTACAAATACATTCTTGGTCACTTAACCCCAAGTCTTGAATGTTTAACCTAATACTGCATTGTTTGTTTTTCCATCAGCACAGATGGCGTTTCCAGTTTGCCATCGGATCGATACCTCAAGCCCACACGCTTCTCCGTTTGGTGAAGTTTTCGGCACAGCATGTATATATTTTGTTTTAAAAGAACATCCCTAGAATTTGAAGCATTTCTTCCAACTCACAGCACTTTTAGGTGGATCCAGTTTGTCCGCCTCAGGCTTGTCTTTAGCCTTTTCCACACCGATAGGCACTGAGTGGATACATAACCACAAACTGAGCAGAACCAACCCACAGTGGGCCAAAGCTTTGCTCCTCACCATCTAGACACACAGGGACAACAACAAAAAGCTGCATTTAATGTGGTTATTTTCTTATAATTTGTCACTTTTACATGAAAATGTGGGCATTTAATCAAATACATTTTATTTTATTTTATTTCTCCCTTTCGTCTGGAGACAGAACAGTCAGTGAGAGCAAAGTGCTTGATCCTTGTAGAGGACAACACCCTTAATTTCTCAGTAATTTCCCAATCTTCTCCAACAAAATAGCAGCATCTCACATGAAGATGAAATTATGCAAGTGACTCCTAATCCTCCCAAACAAGCTCCACCATAAGAAAAGCACTAAGGAACACACCTGCTTTAAACCTGTTGTGTTATAAGTTTAAGGTAAGTGCATCAGTGTAACTCACAATGAAAAACATATGCTAACTGAACAGGTTGTTTATGATGCAGGTAGCTAACTCATCATACGATCAAAAAAAACAGAGCAGCCCGTGTCATACGAAGCAAATTAATAAAAAATATATACATCACGTCAGATAAGACTTACTTGTTAAATTGTGCTAACTTTGAGTTCCTCTTTTTATCCCTCGCTAAGCTTCCACAGTTGAGTGCTGTTCGAAGTGCCTGAGACTCAGCCGGGCTTAATTTCCAGCCGTCATCCGTCCGCCACCAATAAAAGCGTAAAGAAAAAAAAAAGTCGTATTTACCATGGCAACGTCCCGCCTTCGGCTGCTCCCATTGGACAAGGAAAATACACTCGCTTTAGAAAAGAGTCGCGTTGCAAGCTGATTGGGCGGCGCACCTGTCAATCACATGGCATCGAACTCATGCGGTGGCTTGAAAACAGTGCGTGGCGTTCAAGTAACCCCGGACAAAAGCAGACAGTTTGGATTGTCAGCGAAAATAAAATATTTTAAAGATTTAAACTCGAAAATATATCACGGTGATGTATTACTGAATCAATTCAGTACTTTTTTTTTTCAGCGGGATCAATTTATTTGTTTTGGTGTTGCGAAAAGCTAGTTTGCGCCTGCATATCAACAGGGTTAAATTAAAGTATACGTAGTATTTGTAGCTAGCAAATTTATTCATTCAACCTTTATTTATACAGACTAGTCTCATTGAGCCACGAGGACTCATTTATAAGAATAAATTCAAAACATCAAGTAAACTCAAAACCAAGAGCATTTACAAATGCTTTAATGAATGCATTACTGTGTCATGTGCTATTTGAACAATCCATGTATGTTCAGCTCATTCAGGATATTCCTGCTCTGACTTTTAGTATTTGTGCAATTTTTACTTTTTAAAATATTTAGCTTTTTCTGGCTTTTTTCCTAATAGAAAATAAATGAGGCTCTTCACATCCTTCAATCTTTTTATTCTGTTTAAAACCTTTTACTGCTCATTTCAACTTTTGTTCTGATTCAGCTTTTTTCACCTTCTTTGTGACAAATCCAGCTTTCTTCAGCTTCTTTCTGCCTTTTCAGCTACTTTATTAGGTACTTTTCCTGCTAATTTGAGTCTTTTTTGTTTTTCTGCCTTTTTATTGTTTCTGCCTATTGTGCTTCTTTTTAATTATTTCAACTTTGTATGCTCCTTTTGACCTCATTCTGCTAATTTCAGCTTTTCTACCATTATTAGCTACTCTTTTTTTTTTTTTTTTTACTAAATTTCTAACCTTTGTTCATTTCAGTTTCATTTTTTTGTTGCTAATTTCAGATTTTTACAATCTATTAAGAATGTCTCTATTTATTCCAACTGTTTCTGTTTATCTCTGCTACATGGGGCGACTGTGGCTGAGTGGTTAGAGCAGTCATCTTCCAATGCAAGAGTTGGGGGTTTGATTCCACCAGCAGTCACATGTCGGCGTGTCCCTGGGCAAGACACAATGAACCCCTCATTGCCTTTGATTTGTGTCCCATCGGTGTACGAACGTGATCTAACGCACTCATTATTCTTTGTATACAGCGGATAATATAGTAGAGTGCTGTATGAATGAGTAAATGAGGGCACAGATTGTGTTGTAAAGAGCTTTGAGTATCTTAATAAGATAAAAAGGTGCTAAATAAGTACAGTCCATTTACATTTCTGACCTATTCAGCTTTTTCAGCCGCTTTCTTCTGTTTTGTTCTGCTTTCAGCAGGTGTCAACTGATTAAATGCAACTTGCAATGAACAGTTTAGAGATTAAACCTTCTGGTTTCAGCTTATTCAGCAGCTTTCTGGAAAAGTTATTCATCAATAACTGCGCTGTCTGTGGTCATTTTCACTGATTCGGCTCAAAACAATTTGTTTGTTTTTCTTTGTAACAGACTCTTGTGAACACAGAGCTTAAATATCGTGTGAGCTTGCGCAATATTTTTCAAACAGACACAGAACGACATCTTGTCTTGGTCAGGTACAAAACGGGACAGAAAATGAGTAAAAAGAAACTAATAATAATAATAATGTGTTATGTGTTGTCATCGCTGGATGTTCCCATACAATGGTGAAATTGGCTCTCTGCATTTAACCCATCGCACCTGGGATGCACTCAGGTGGGGCAGTGGGGCAGCTACTGGTGGCGCCCGGAGAGCAATTAGGAATGGGGTGTCCTGTTCAGAGGCACTACGAGATGTGCAATGAATGGCTGGGGATCAAGCCTGGGACTTTCAGGTCCTGAGTCGGCTGCCCTGCTTCTGCCCCATTTAGACCCCAAACTAAATGCCAAAGAAAATTAAAAAAAACGTTGAAAAGCCCTAAAACCATGTAGACCAAGACCTCTTTTTAAGATGGAATGTCTAATTCAGTTCTTTGGTAGATGGACTGTACTCATATAGCACCTTTCTATCTAATCAAGCTTTACAGCACAATCTGTGCCCTCATTTACCTCCACACACATCCATTCAGCACTCTACTACATCTCTACAAATATAATCTGAACCTATAGACTTATCAGTGTTTTAGATCACATTCATACACCGATGGGACACACATCAGAGACACTGAGGGGTTCAGTGTCTTGCCCAGGGACACTTCAACATGTGACTGCTGGTGGAATCAAACCCCCAGCTCTCCCATTGCAGGATGACTGCTCTAACCACTCAGCCACAGCTGCCCAGTAACAAGAAGTTTGGGATGACTGAAGACTTTTACACAGTAGTGAACACACACCTCGACTTGTGTGTGTTCAAAATCACAACAATGGCTCACTGAGTTGTTAGTTTGTCCTGGTTCTTATTATTGTACATCTTCTGACAAAAGATTTAATACAATTTAATTCGGCTTCTTTATATTTTATGGGTTTTAGTATGTAAAATAGTTTTTCTAAATTTATATGGGGTTACTAGTATATTTTTAATACTTTCAGAGACTGACTTATTTTTGTCCATTTCTATTTTAATGTTAGAATTTTGTAATCTGTTTTAGGCTGATTTTATTATATATGTCCAAGAACAACTTAATTCTTCAGCATAGATAGATAGATAGATAGATAGATAGGTAGGTAGATAGATAGATAGATAGATAGATAGATAGATAGATAGATAGATAGATAGATAGATAGATAGATAGATAGATAGATAGATAGATAGATAGATAGATAGATCC